GATTTGTGAATGGATTCGGTGAGAAACTCTACGAACGGTTGGCCACAAAGCACGCAAAAACTCATGAGAACTATTAGAATACCCAAAAGGCAACCTTATGTACTCAAAAAATCTACCCGCCACCGCTAAGCCAACAGCACGCCACAAACGTGGTGCGAGCCGGACCTGCAAATAAGCATTAGACAAGTCAAGGGCCGAACCAATGCAAAACGGATGCAAGGCGGCCAAAGACATCTCACGGTGAACAGGAAGAAATGGTTGGTGCTGAACACAAGAATTGAACTTTCGAAAGTCCAGCACAAGACGAGTAGAACCATTCTTCTTGGGTACCCCAAATGCCAGAATGACAAAGGTTCATGATGCACCTCGCGGACAGCCCCCAACTTCACTAATTTCAAAACCTCCTCCAAAACCTTTGCCTCCTCAGCGGGGCCCATCATGCGGTTAGGAGGTTGTGTTTTCCACGGGAGAGGAAAACGAAAAGGAAATTGGCAGACCACATATGTGCGACAAGTGCCAAGACCATCGGCGAAAACCGTAGCAAATTTCGTGCGCAAGGCAACCAACCATGCAGGAGAGGAAACAGATGCCCGAAAAACATCCTGGTGAGACCCTTGAATAACCTGGCAAAACCCACGCCCTTTTCTACCTGTAGGAATCAAAAGTATCCCCTTATCTGGAATCCGAAACCACTGGACCGAGGTGCGACAGGCGAGTAAGTCATAACGAGGCATCAATTGCTGTGGCTCAGCAGAAAAATTCTTGAGTGCGCCCCAAATCCGTACGCCATCAGTTTTGAAAATAAAAGTGACCTGGCGATTAGGAAGAGTCACAAAACATTCCTGTAAGGAGCCCACTGGAAATTTGCATGGCAAATTGATCCTTCGCGTCTCATAAGGGCCCAACACAATACTACGATTCAATGGAAGAAACAAAAGACCATTCTTGTGATAAGGAGGATAAAGAGGGCGTTCAGTAAAATCTAAAAAACTCCCCACTGAATCCCCCGCCCCTGTCCCAGACGACTGAAAAGAGCTCAGCCGCGGCCCACAGCCGCCCTCAGACCGCGCCGCCCCCCGTTTCCCGACATCACCCGATTCACACCCCCTGCCACCCCACGATCACCCTCAATGGCCACCCTGCCTGGCACAACAGAAGAAGAAGAGGAGGGAAGCAAAATGCCCTGACAAAAGGCTGCATGGCGCGGGATGGTGATAGGATCGTGGCCTGTATTGAGAAGAATGGCCTTGACACGCCCGCGGTAGTTCCCGTCAATGACGCCACCTAAGATCTGAATGCCATAACGATGCGCCAATCCTGACCGCTCTTTCAATAAGCACCAGGTGCCCGATGGAAAATGACATGCAACAGCAGTATCCACAGTCGCGCGCTCACCAGGACGAAGATGAATCTCCTTGGGAGCAAAGAAGTCGTAAGCGGCATCACCAGAGAAATGCTTCCGAGGAAGGGGTGGCAAACGACCATCCACGGGAAACCGCTGAACCACTAAGGCGTCACCTTGTTGGTGATGGGGCTGATCTGCATCCTGAACCGGTAAACACTTGACGTGGTGGCCACTGGTCTTCTGAATAAGTGTACGCTCCATGCAGTCAACCAGCAACTGATTGTCTTCAAGGAACGTAAACCCCATGATCAAAGGGGGGCCTTTGCCATCAAGAATATAGGCCTGCATAGGCATGGCTGCACCTTGAACGGTTACCGGGAGGGTAACAACACTGATCAAAGGCTCCTCGTCACCATTGCCGTACCGGACATGGTGCTGGCATGGCTGCACGTGGTCCAATAACCCAAGTTTCTTCACCAGAGTGCGCTGCACAAAGCAAGAGGTAGCTCCTGTGTCGACGAGAGCCATGATCTGAGTGCCCTCAATATGGACACGAATGTGCAAGGACTTTTTGTGCGTCTTGTGGACAGCACGGCACACCTCGGGAACAGCAAATGTCTGACAACAATGTTCATCAGAAGCGAGGTCATCTAATGGCAGCGCTTCGCAGTCATAGAAAGTATCCTGCTGGTCCGGCGGCGACCAAAAATCACCCTCACCATCATCAAAAGGCCACTGGGTCTATAGATGCTGAAAGGTATCGGGATGATAGGGGGCATTCCAATCTTTGGAGGAGGAATCTGCGCCGAACTCGTCACGATAATCCAGCTCATGGTCATGCAACCCACGCCGGGGCGACCGAGGACCACATGAGAGATAAGACTCGGATTCCCGGCAAAGGCTAGCAGAAGTACTGACAAGCTTCTTCCATGCAGTCATGAGACTGCGAGGACCATCAATATTCCGAAATTGAATTGTGTCGCCGTGGAGGACAGGACGGTGGGCGCGGCCATTGCCCTGGCGAAAACCGTAATCCGCCACAGAATAGTTGTCGGCCATGTCAGACTGTACAGAGCGTCGGGCCTAATGCCCATGAACATTGTTGACCTCCATGGGATCGAATGGCACTGTTTTGTCTCCCGCACAATGCGCCCAGTACCGGATGCCACGGATCACATCAAATAGGCCGTTCAGAGTCACATCGTGTTGGAGATGACTCAATTGATGGCGCAACTCCCTAGGGAGTTTTCGGTACAACTCGGCAGCCTTAAATTGCTCAGACACAGTATCACACAGCTCCGCGAAGAGGAAGTAGCGATCGACAAAATCGATCTAGGCCTCCTTGGGCTGACGGGACATGCGGGCAAGGTAGTCTTGTTCAGATAAGGCGTTTTTTGGGAGCAATTCCTGCACTTTCGTGATCAATCGATTCCACCGGGAGGCATCAGTGACCCCCTCGCCGGTCTCTCCACTAAGAGATGTAGCAATCCGCGCTATTCGGCGGTGGGGCATTGACCCTGGGCGGAATTGCCGTAACAGAGCTCGTGTGCGGTCGCTAAACTTCTTTGTCTTAGCCTCCCAGCGTGCCGCATCAAAAATCCAGAGCGATGCCTCATAAGACAACGTAGACAAGAGGGGACCTTCGGGCCCAGGGCCGGGGTGTGGCTCAATTCCACCGATGAGCAATAATTGCTCCATAATAACGCGTCTGTCAGAGGCATGCTCCTCTATGGCTGAAACATAATGCAGTGCGTCCGGTGTGACATCACCATCACCGTCAAATGTTACATTTGCTGCCCGCAATGGATGTCGGGTCTTTACGGCCCGAACAGGAAACCATCCCCTTGCTTTCTCTCTCTCACCACTCTCAATACTGATAGAAAAACAAGTTGGTTGACACTCTGTATCATCTCGCTCAGCACCACCACTCCCTCTGGTCCCAGTACTGGCCCTTGTTTTCGAATTATGGCCCTCTACTGTGGTCGTCATACCCCCACCCCTTCCGCCCCGTCCCTCACCACCATCGGCACTGACAGGAAAACTCGTTTGGTGACACCCGTTACTGTAATGGGGGCGGCGATCGATCGCGCCCCCCGTGCCCCCCCCACTGCTGCCACCCGAAGGTGGTGAGACTGGACGGAAGCCGTGCTCGCCCCCGCCCTGGGTGACTAACCCCTGACCACGCCCCCAGTTACCTGCGTTGACCCCGGCACCACCGTCACCCCGTTCCCCGCGCCCCTGGTTCCCGCCGGCCTCCGAGGCCTTCCCCCCCGGTCCCCGCCCCTCCGCCTGGCGGCCGCCGCCCCACGCGCGCGCGCGCCCACCTGCCGTCCAAGTCGATGAATCACCGCCTCTCGCCGGGGACCCGCCATGCCGCTCCGCCGTGGCTGCCACCCGCCAGTTGCTGGTAAGCCATCCCCATACCCTGTCTGTGGCGCTCGCCGCCATGCCCGCCAATTCGCGCCGGCTCCACCGTCCCACCGAGTCGCATGGGTCCACCCAAGCTGCCGAACCGTGTGAGTGCCGCCCTTCCACCGATCTAGCCATCACGCTCCACCCCAACGAGCCTCCGCCGGCCTCCGCGGTCACTACTGTGCCGTGCCCTGCTGTCAACCCCGCTGGATGCCAATGCGCCTCTGGCCAGGCGCCCATCTCTGCACCGCGCCCATCTGCCGCCCCGAATCTGCGCTATGCCGTTTCGGTGGTTTCCATGTCTGCTAGTGGCCTGCTCAAGCGTACTCATCTGTTTCGCTCGACCCGCCACATAACATGAACCATTCTGCGCCCCCTTTCAGCCCCCCGCCTCTTCCTCCATCGCTCAATCCACGGCCGCCCCCGCAGTGCCATTCTGCGGGTCATCGCCCCCGGAAATAGAAGGGCCGCGGCCCCCATCCCAAGCGGGGTCGGGTTGGATGCGCAACCCGGCATCCAAGCCATCGGGTGACCGGGCCGCAGGGGTGCCGTTCCCCTCAGTCTCCATTCTCTGTCCCTCCTCCCGACCATGGCCGCTTGAAACGAGCCATGCCGGTCCAATGCCGTAGCCTCCAGCCGGCATCGCATGTCCACCAGCGCCTCCCACAACACGACCACTCCGAGCACCGCCAAAACGATGGCGGTGCCCGGGAATTGACCAACGGGATGGCGGCGTCTCCCACGCCGCCATCGGACACCTGGTCCCCCAGGGTCCGTCCCCGGCTCCGAAACCATATCGGGTTGAACGAACACTTTCGCGCTCGCACACGGTCGCTCCCAGGCACAAGAAGCAAGGCCGTAACCAGATGCATTACAGAATGAGCGTATCGGTCTAAATACCAGTCACTGCAATAATATTCGATACCCAACTCCATTGTCTCCATGTACATTCGCCATAACACCATGCTCACGCATTCACTTCCAACCATAAAACACCATAGATCACATATAATATTTTTAATCGCTCCCTTGCCCTCACAATGACAATGAGGGAGGAGATGAAAATGTACCCTCCTTCCCCCCGCCTTAAAGAAAGCATACAAGGAAACACCACAGCTGTTGCTAAGATTTTTTTGGAGAGCAAGATTGCTGCTGCCATTTTCGGACACTTCATTAGGCTGTCGCTGCTCGCTCTTGCAGGCTTGTTCAACTGGTGCATGAAAAATCTCAGCGGCTCCGCGTCATGATGAAGATGCACGGACTTGGCGACGGAGCATACTGGATAGTGAGCTACACATACTACCTGATTCTGTACACTGCGTACATTGCCGTGTTCGTGGGCCTCGGATCTTTGGCAAACCTTCCCATTTTCCGCCTCAACGATTACGGTGCGTCCAGGTGTCAGCATTTGTGTTGACTCCTGTCCTTTTTCTGCCAAACTCAGGGGTTGTTTCATCGGCAGCATCCGCCAAACATTCTGGCACGGACAGAGACACTGACAGTGGTCTGTTGGCAGAAACGGGAAGCATCACTATGTTTTTCGAAATTTTTTAAAGCGACCTCAGCGGTGGGTGCGGGGCGTGGGAGTGAAGGGAGAGGGGGTAGGGACGAGCAGTGCTGAAGTTTTCTAATTTTGCAGTGATCCACATGTTTACAATGGAATGGGTGAAAAATGTGAAGGGTGTGGCTTGGACGTTTTGAGCGATGGGCGCTGTTCTCAGGTGTACAAATCGCGTTCTACTTCCTGTACGGCAACCTGCAGATCGCCTTCGCCTTCCTAATGAGCGGCGTGTTCGGCTCAACCCTGACGGCAATGGTGTTTTCCTTCTTGTGGATCTTCGGGGGCGGGCTGGTCAGCCTCTTCTTGATGAATCGCCTGATCATGGACGACGCTGTCTACGTCAAGCTGGTGCAGCTCGTTCCAGCCTTTAGCGCCTACAGGTGCGATGGTCAATTGCTTTTGCGTGCAGTCTGCGCACTGTCGAGGAACGTGAAGTGACATGAAGCTGATTCCTGTTTGTGTGGTTCGTTGCCGGTGCTGTTCATTTCCAAGTCGCTGCATGCAGCCTCGCGCGATGTGCTAGATGAATGCTCGGGGAGCAGCGTTCTCGAAGCGCACATTTATTAGTAAATTAAAACAATCCTGAAAATCTTCGTGCACATTCTGAAGGGGATGGTTCGAGATGGGCGTGTACAGCTTGCGCGCCAAGGAGCGAAGCATTGATGGCCTTACTTGGGAGTCCCTCAATGACGACAAGAATGACATGGATTTCTTGCTGGTGGCCTTCGTCGTGGAATGGCCGCTTTTCATGATGGTGGCGTGGTATGTAGAGCAGGTGAGCCAAGGCGCCCAGAAGTTTCTGGTTCTCGCAAAAGTTGAACACGCTGTCTGTTAAAGGTGCCAGGGCAATGCAACGACAGCACTCTGGTTTCTCGGCAGAATCAGACAACGCAAGTATCATGAAAGTTCGGGATGTTCTGGAAGTTCTTCAGACAGAGGATTCATTAATATGGCATATGTGGATGACTCAGCTCTGGGGAAACCTAAAATCGTGCGGTTCTGCGGTTGTGCTAGTATGTCAATGCACAGCGTGCTCATTTTTCAAATGTGTGCAAAATTGCAGGTTTGGCTTACTTTCGTGTTTTTAGCGTGCATAACACTGATGAAATGCATACATATTGTTTTTCGGAATGTGCTATTTGGTCCTTTTTCTGCCAGTGATATGGATGAATCATCAATCCCCAGGAGTCGCCTTGATGCACGCATGTTGTGTTTAAATTTGGGACTCGAAACAAACAGGTGCTAACCACGCAATGTCTATGATGGAACGAGAAATTCGTGCACTTACTCTGTGTGCTCTGGTTCTCAGGTGTACTCAACGGGCACGGGTTTCAATAGGCATCCTTTTTATTTCTTGCAAGGACTCCGTAAGGCGAAGAACACACGCGAAAAGCAAGTAAGAAGATGGACTAAGTGCAGCAATATCATGTAAATCCTAGATCAGAGAACATGCCAAGCACAACGTTGTATTCTGTGAGGGGCGCGCAACTGTCTTGTGGTCCTGCCATTCGGTGATAAAAAGTTTATGATTGTTTCTCGCAAAATTGCCAGTGTGCTGCCATCGTTCTGCTTAATTGGAGCCTGTCAATCTGCATCACTACTTTCTCCCACATTGTTTCTTTGTGCTTATACAAGTAGATGCCTTGCACCCGAGGCAGTGCGCTGCAATGCAAGTGTACTTTGTTGCTGTATGTGTCCAATTGCACGCAGGGCGCAACTTTCACTGCATGGTAGTTGCTCCCTCATGCCATGCGCTTGGAATCTCTTTAAACATTGATTTAGCGCACTGAAAATTTGGCGTGCCGGTGTGCACTACGAAGGTGCATTGTGGGTATTCTAATTTTCATTCAGATCTGTGTATTCACTTCAGCGTCTTTCGATCGAGTGAAATACAATGGAACTTAACAAGCACATACAGCAGCGCATTCGAATCACCTTCCTGAGAGCGATATCTGAAAGTTGGGTTTTTCTCGTATACTGTTGCTCTTTTTTGCGTAAGTTAATTGTGCATGTGACGTTTTCTCGGATTTGCCCAAAGCCCCCTGTCGCTACGTCCAATTTTCGGTCCACCCGAGCATATTGCTCACTGTGACATTTCGATGGTATCCTGTGAAGATCGTGAAGAGAATTTCTGAGGGCGTTGTCCGCGCCACGAACAAGACTGCGTGTTGTTGCTGCTGTGGCGGAAAGCGCGAGGTAGGGCACTTGGGGCCTGAGCATTCTCTGCGACTTCGTACCCTTCATGGGCGCTTTGATATAGCGCGCTTGTAGGGCGAGATGTGGTACAAAATTTCATTCAGCTTTTTACGAACATGGCTGAGTTCCATGCAAGTATCTAAGTTTGACATGCAAAACACATGTAATGAAGTGCGTTGGTGATTGCCATTGACAAAATGCCACAGCCTTGTGGATTCAACAATGTGCGTTGTATTCGGGAGCGGCCTACATGATTTTGCATCCACTTCCCCCTTTGATGCAGTCAGCCCAGAAGCGCAAGGAGATGGATGCCCAGGAGGGGATAGAATTCGTTCCGCGAACGTCGCGCAGCTCCGTTGTGGTGGACGTCGACGAAGAAGCCGAAGACGTGGCGGCGGAACGCAGGACAGTGGAGGGCATTCCCGCGACCGGGGCCGGCGAGCATACCATTGTGGTCCGCGGCTTGAGAAAGATTTTCCCGTCGTCAGGAGGGAATCCGAGAAAGGTGCGCGTCGATGCGGGTCACCTAGGTGTGCCCGAATCGTATAGCAATATCATATAGTAATATTAACAATAATGATATAATAGTAATGGTATTAATAATATTATATAAATTGGTACTTGCGCTTCACGCGGCGTGGCTGAATTGCGAGCGGCGGATCAAACTGCACAAGCCGGTCCCCTGGTGTGTCACCCCGATGCGCATGATGTTGCACAGATGAAGATGTGGTTGTTTAAAAGTCGCGCCCTTGAACCAATCTGCTCCTGTGGGGCCGACGAATATGCACCATAACCACAAATGCCTCTTGGATAATTTCCAACGCTCCAGGGCACCTGCTTGCAAACAGGCCGTTAACTAGGAAAATTCCTCATCTAAATGGTAGGAATGCCGCCATCAACTAACCTGCAACTCGCTGCTTTGTTGTGTTTGCTCATCCATCGTCAGTAGTCGGAATCCGTTCATGCTTTTTCTGCTCCTTATAATATTCAAACTCTTTGTCGCGCGACAGGTTGCTGTGAAAGATATGTATCTGACAGTGCGCCCAGGAGAGGTTTTTGGCCTGTTGGGTCCAAACGGTGCCGGAAAGACGACATGCATTAATATGCTTGTGGGTTTCATGAAGCCTACGTCTGGATCGGCTCTCATCAATGGCATGGACATCGCGCAGTCCATGGAACAGATCTACGACAGCATGGGTGTCTGCCCCCAACACAATCTGCTTTGGGACACGCTAACGGGTGGGATTGAGCAATTCGTGCGTGGTCGGGACATAAGAGCAACCGGTTGTGTCCAGTTTATGGGACGGAATGGAGGGCGCCTCTGAGCCTTGTCCACCATTGCGCTGATTTGGAAACTCAAATTCTGCCATGAAGTCGCTCTTGTTTCATCTGTTGTCCGTTCTTTCAATAAGGAATACGTCGCGATTCACCGTTCCTTACCGCTGCGATTGTTTTTTTTTCTACACTTTCCTTTATTTGGAGCATTAGGATAGAGTGGGTTATTGAACACTAATGCGGACAACACTGTGGGCGGATTTTGTCGCGCCATCTCCTTGCAGGCGCAACGCCCGAGTTTGGGTTTCCATTACAAATGCAACAAAGTAATTGATGATGACAGCGTGGCTCATTATATGGCGCCGTATGCGATTCCTTCCTTCCTAGCCTTCTTACATTCAATGGCGACGAAATGCCATTCTTTGCTGCAATTGTTTCTGGTTGGAGAGTCTCTCATTCTTTTCGGTACTTGTCTGTTGCAGCCACCGAGCATCTTCTGTTTTACGGCCGCCTGAAGGGCCTCACTGGGGCAGAGTTGAAGGCAGCTGTTGCCGATGCCCTCAAATCTGTGCGCTTGTTTGCCAATGGCGTGGGAAACAAGCTGGTGAAGACGTACAGTGGAGGGATGAAGCGCCGCCTCAGCGTCGGGATATCTCTTATTGGAGACCCCAAAGTCGTGTACCTCGATGAACCAAGCACGGTGAGCGACGAGGCAATGAACGATTGTGTTTCACTTGACACGATAATGTTATTCGAAAACAATGGCAATGCGTAATTACCATTTGTGTGCATTCCAAAATATTGAAATGTCATTTGACATTTTGGAATCTGAAAGAATGGCGCTGCGCACGGAGGCAGGCACATCTAGCTGATGGAGGGCGCCAGGCTAATGAGATGTCACTTCTCCATCAACTGTGAGTTGCTGGTTAGTTGTCAATAGTGTCTATTTAACAACATCGTCGGAAAAAAGTTGCCTTGTTGTCTTGGATATACATTCCCAGGATATGGCCACATGCCAGGATATGGGGCCCCACATCCCACGATATGGCAGCCATATCCCATGAGATGCCGCCCATATCTTGGGATAAGACAATATCCTCGTCCACACATTTGCCATATCCTGGGATATGGCCCCCCATATCCTGAATGTGGAGCGCCCATATCCAGTATATGGCCATATCCTGGCCATGCGTATCCGGGATATGACGCCAATATCATATTCGATATCCAAGACATGGGGCCGCCCCATATTCTATTCCATATCCAGGATATGTGAATTTTCACCGACGATCGCTAGTTGTTAATTGAACAATGTTTATCTGGACATACTATTAATTGCTCGCTTTTGTTGGCAGGGCTTGGATCCCGCTTCTCGCCGGAATCTGTGGGGTACTGTGAAGAGGGAGAGAAAGGGAAAGGCCATCATACTGACGACGCACAGCATGCAGGAGGCGGGGGTGCTGTGCGACCGGGTGGGGATAATTGTCAACGGCAGCCTGGTGGCCATCGGCAGCCCGCAGCGGCTAACGTCGAGGCATGGGGACTATCTGGTGAGAGTCCATACGTGTTCACAAGCGATCCTGTTTCGTTATGTATGCTAATTCTTATGTCCATTTATGGTCTCAGAAAAGATTCAAAATTTTGCAAAAGCAAATTTACTCCCTGGTTCTTTACATTGCTCTTGAGCACTGGAAAGAACGAGTGAGCAACATGCCTTTGATGTTGATGAAAACCAAAAGCTTGACTTTGCTGTGTTTGTTCATGTGTGCTATGCAAAGAAAATTTCATCATTGGCACAGGTCTCCACACACGGCAGCACATGTTTCGTCCTTTTTACCTTGGTCCACGGAGTGGGAAAGAGAGCTTG